CATCAACACTCTTTTTTTTTTGGAGTGCAATCAAACCTTGAACTAACGTAACGATCTAGATCTAGTGAAATTGGTTTTCACCAGCAAACTAAACTTTATTACTATATGTGTAAAGCTTTACCCTACACTCTATAACCGTTAGGTATGGTGGGGTCTAAACGATGAGTCTATGTGATTCAAAATTGCTATTAAGAATCAGTTTTCGTCACAAAATATTGAAAATTATATTTTTTGCAATATAGAAAGCTATTCGTCGTGCGATTGTGATCAAGTTCAAAAAATCGATTTCCTTGATCCAATTTGGCTAAAATCCATTTGAATGTCAAACTGCTTTTACGGAATTTTGATAATTAGACCCTTTCACCATATAATTCCTTGTAAATATCATCCCATCCGATTCAAATTTTTCACTTCATTGTAATATGTTGAAATACTATTACTCAGCGCTTCTCAAAATAAGACGTTATATAAGGCGTGATCGCAAAAACGGCCCGATTCAATCTATTTTCAATCGCAGTCGTCTTGGCTCGGAATACTGCCAGCGTACCATGCTCTCGTCCATATAAACACAAATGTTCCGACTTGCATTTAAACATTAAAGACAGACGGACAGGCAAGCTTAGATCGATTCAGAAAATGGCTCAGAATCGATTGGTATGGTAAAATATTGGTCTTAAGCTCTTTTGTTACTTACAGGCCTATATCACAAGTGATGTAAGATAGAAAAATATGGAAAGTTCTATCCATCTCTACTCACAGGCTAAACACGTGAAAACTTACAATTATCTCTATAGTCAACCGTGAAAGAATTTTTTCCAGCAATAATTCCGAACCGTTTATCGGAATGCAATTTACAACTCCGGGCTAAAGTGTTTACACAACACAGCCAGACAAGTAAATAAAAAATTTTTTCGATTACATCACTCAACTGTTGTCCATTCCTTAGCTTCTTTGCATTTTTCATCCATCAGCGACGAGTATGGAAGTATGCTTTTTCTTCTTTTTTGTTTTTTGCAACGCCCCATAATACACATTCGGAAACCCCATAAACTGTAGTCATATCGTTCATTATTCAAAGATAATTTTTCTTCCAGAGCACGCGGACAATAAGATGAGTATTGGGAAATATGTATTAAAAATCGATGGTAAACTATCAAAAAATATATCTATAATTCTTGCCATTTGCTCCCCTGAATGTCTTGATATTGCGGTACTTGATCTGGATGCCTCGCTTGCCAAATCGCTTAACTCATTTAAAGAAGAAATTGACTTATTGTTACTGTACAGTTTTCTCGTTATTAACAGAGTTAATCGATTTGGCAAATGAGAGCAAATAATTAATTCAAATACAGTTTTCGAAGAATTTTTTTATTGCGGAAAAACCTCTCTATATATATATGTAGATAAATGTTATATTCAAGATTTTAGGAAACATGAGTAACAACTGTTCTATAACTGATACATAATACTTTGTAATATTACTTTGTTTCATTTTGATTCACCATCAAAGGGAAATGGAGCCTTCTCCTTCACCTGGATTTGATCTCCGATTTCTGTTCAAAGAGAGGAATGAATTTCAACAAGTCTTTTACATTTTTTCGCGTTTCCTCCCCGTATCTTAGATCTACCTGTTGATTGCAATAAATCCTGGTCTACATTTCTCGGACATAATGGTCTATCTACTACACATTTTCTTCTATTAATGGCATTAAATTCTGTATCTTCGTCAAAGTCATACATGAAGTGTATGGGGTGAGGTTTTGATTTTTCTAATTTTAACCAAAGCATTTTCCGGCAATTTTCTGTTATAGTTTCAATACATCTGCTTTGTGCGATGGATGAGTCTGAACAGGCTACTATTATACCCTACATCACTTACGGTACGGGGTATATTAACTTGGTGAGGTCGTATGTAACACGCAGAAGGGCTTAAGATGGACCCATCTTTTATTATAGCGATCGATTCAGAACAATAATCCGAATTGAACTAAGCCTGCCTGTTCGTGCGATGTCTGTCCACGTAAATTTGTTTTCAAGTTATAGTTCGCAATTTTTGAGATATTTCGATGAAATTTGGTACAGTGACGTGATGTGTGACTCAAAGATGAACCCTATAATTCGGTACGATCTACTAAAGTCATTATTTGGAAAAAAAATTGCAAATAACGGATGTGAAAACTTTCGACCGGCTGGGGCACTTTTTGAACACTCTTTCATATAACGTAAGCTGAAGTTCAAACAGTTCGACAAAAGGTGTAATATTGCAATACTTCATTATGAAAATTACATCATAATAGTAATTTAAAATAATAATATAATTAACTATGTCGAATTTGGAGTATCTCGCCCTATTTTTTCGATCCTACCTTAAAAACGATTTTCACGAAAATTGATCTTCTGCAGAGTAGAACAGCCTACGTTTTAACAAGTGATGATGGAAATTGACCCACACCATTATAGTAATTTCATACAAACATGGACTTTACAATATTTGGACCATCTACGCCTATTTTTGCATCCTGCCCTATGTGAGGTTGCAACTTGTTTTACATTAGGCTGCGTTTTGGATCCGCTTTCACATGTTCTATAATAAAAATAAGTATTGCCTTAGACAATGCGGAGTAGGGTATTCAAAGATCGCCTTTGCCCAACTATAATGTTCTTATTTGTTTTTTTTACAACTTTTAGCACAAATTTTTATAATTTATACCTTACTAGACAGAAGACTAGAAGAAATTTCGTGAGACCCGTGAGGTCCCTCAGTTTCTGGCCTTTGAAATCACACGTATTGCGTGTATTTTTGGACGGTTGCTTGAAATGCAAATTAAATTTAGTCGACAATTCGTTGTAATAATATCTTGCTTCCCAACCCATGCAGAGGTCGGACTAATTTTGCTAATATTTATGTGCGGATTAGAGTATTTTCTCCTTGGATTATACGCTCCTATGCAGAGACTTGCTTAGATATCTCCGTAGCAGAGTGGAGTAGGTTAACTAAATTTTTATTATAGTTTCACTTGTGAAAGAAATTATTCATTATTCAGTGAGCAACAAAATTTCGTCATTTAGTTGTTTGAGTTGTAGGAGCCAATTAAATGCTTTGATACTAAAGTTTAATAAAATTCAGAAAATGATGTTAATCGATTTGGCAAGTGATGCATTCATTTGTTAATCAATTATCATGTAATTGTATGAAGCATGTAAACAGAAAACAATTCAATTCGAACAAAAAGGAAAAAATTCGTATAAAAACAACTAAGATAATTATATTCGGCTGGGAACGAATCTTCTATACCCACCACCATGCATGTTATCGTACCAATAGCAATTTCATCCGACCGCAACGTAATGAGATAACATATCAAAATGGGGAATTTCATCGCTTATAACTTGATGAGGGCGCGAGCAACAATTTACAGGATCCTCATATGAAGAATGTATAGACTAATCTTGTTTACCTTGTGAGTAATAAGAACCAAAACTTCAAAGAAGTTAAAAAAATGAAAATTTGTTCGCTTGTAACTCTGTGAACTCATGAATACTAGGATCGTCCATAAAAATGCGGAAAATTTCTTCCCTTTGTTCCATAATACATGAGTAATAAGCCAAAACTGATAAACTTTTTGCTTAGGGACACAGAGATGCGTTCATTTTACGCTTTACGGTAGGCGAGTCGTTCGATCGATTTAACCCATTTTCAATACCCAACTGCTTGCAAGAAGTTCCAATATTTCTGTCAAAATTGATTTTGATTTCTTCATTTTTGCGAGCAAACCTGTGTCTTGACACTGACAGACGGAAAGACATCGCTAGATCAATTTCAAATTTCGGATTGGTCAAGAATGCATATATTTTATAGGATCGCTAAAACGCCTTCATGTACTTACCGCTGCACTTGTGGATATAAAAAGGTGGGACAAGAAGAAAACATTCGAATACGAAAGTATCGGGAATTAATAAGAAAACGTAACAAATTGTTCAGCAAAGGATCTATTTAAAATTTTTATATATTGCGGTTAAAGTTATCGGTGCGGATGTTCCCAAAATGATTCACAAATCGCTCGAATGTAATGCCCTTGTTAACGTGATAAGGAACTTAGGGGCGGAACAACGCGTTTGCCAATGGTGAACGAAGTTGTAAGAAGACTTCTTCAGATTTGAACGGCCATTACTATGAAATTCTAAGGAAAATGACGCTTAAGTAAGAAAACTGCGTTGAAATCATAGTAAAGATGTTGGAAAGACGTGCAAAATCCACTAAACGTATCTGAAGCAATTGCTCGACATATTTTGACAGTCGTATATGACAGCAGGATGACCTTTTCCCATACTTATAAATCATATCGCCAAGTAGCTGATTAGATTAATAAACTTACTCCGAGTACTTACTCTCAGTATTTTTACACTAATAACTTAGATATAATAACTGACGGAAAGATAAATTGAAGCTTGTGTTCGAAGTGTAGACTTTTGTGTATTGAATTGAGGAACAGTTAAGATAAACTTATATCATAAAAGAAACATCATACTTCCGGTATACGAGTGTATGTACATGCGTTCCAGTGCACATTAATGGGAATCTTTTATTGAAGAAAGGTTTTTTTTTTTTGGCAAAGAGATCCACTAAACATAATAATTTTTGCCCGATTTTATATAGCATGTGTTTCTTGAATATGATTTTTAATTATTTCAATTTTGAAACGTAACTAATTTAAAGAGTTTTAAAAGCTCTCAAAAGAAACGCATGCGCTCGAGCAGCACAATGCATTTCATTTACAAAACTAATGGTGTTATTAATGAAAGCAAAACTCCTTAGGGTCAGTATCCTTTTAACCGCGAAACAGCGAAAGTCAGAAGTAATTTTTTAAAAGTTTCAGATTTGATAAAAGAGTCATTCGCTTCGCTTACGGATCGAGTGATCAATTGAATCAGGAAAAGAGAAAATAATAAAAAAAAAAAAGAAGAAGAAGAATTATAGTTAATCAATGAACGGTCATATTATGGCCATATTAGAATCATGTTGTTTTTGGAACAACGTCTGGCGCGGCAGTTTGGCCAGCGCCATTTACACGATGGTAAATAAATATTTAAAAAATGTTAAATCCTTAGGTTTGCCTAACTTACTCTATATCAGAATGTAGTAAATAAAGGATCTGTCGATCGGAAACAAATTTTTATAAATCCATTAAATATTTGTGCCAAACTTTTATTTTTTTCACAATTTAACGATCATAGTTTTTGTTTTTTTTTTTTTTCACGTAAAATGGAAATACTGTAGCTATAGTCTTTGAAGTAAGCATGATTATTTGGCTTCTTGATTTTTTTTACTTATTATATTTTTTTTTAAATAAAGCGAGAAAAGAAAAACTTACAAGATCTTAGACAATCGCCGCGACCAGGAAAGTAGTGAAAACTTTAGTATATTTATTTATATTTATAGGATATTTAGTATCTAATGTTTCTTTATTTTTTATTAATAAATCTATGTTTTCATATAAAATATCTTAATTTCTTTTATTTTACAAGTTAGCCTAAAATTAGACCGCCATAATTTTTAAACAAAGCCCTCGCTAAATTCCCTGTTAAAAGGGAAAGTACAGAGTCGCTTGCTTATAATAAATAAATGGTTAAAAGCCCAACTTAACAGAAAACAAAGATTCAACTCTGTTAAAATGCAAAGCCGTCGGCAAAACAATCGAATGTCAGAATATGTTTTTGCCCACAACCAAAAGTATACTTAGTGTATGTATATGTATACGGAACAAATAATTTTAGAGATGCGCCTAAAATACATCATCACAAATTTTGTTTGTTTTTTTTTCGAAATTACCGCGAAAAAAATGACTGCATACAGTATATATTTTAAGCTGCTGCTGCTGCTGCTGCTGCTGCTGCTGTTCCTTATCATATTTTTGATTATGTGATGTGAAATTTCGAAAATCACCAAACTAGCTATATAGAGAGCTTGACTAAAGCATAAGTAAAGAAAAAAGTTCATGATGTTTCTCACAGATGATACCTTTGCAACCCTAATCCTATTACGCCACACATGAACTCGTCTAACGGATGCCATGAATAGTTACGAAAAAGGAAAAAACATTTATTTCACATTTGTTAATTCGATGGAAGGTATTTACGTTCTAAAAATGAACCGAAATTCCAAAAAAAAGTCGCCAATCATTTCGCTTACGACGTTTACATTTGGCAGGCTTACATAACCAAATGCAAGCAAGCATCAGTCTGCAGTACACCAATGCTGTCACCTCTACCCGCATGGTACTCGTGACATAGTCAGTGGGCTCCTGATCCCCGTGAAGCTTAAAGTTAGACTGTAAAGCCTTTAACCCTACTTTGTGCGACGTAGTCATTCTTGCTTTCGGATTAACCCTACAATCCCGGCTAGCCAAGACCTTCTTCAAGATATATTGGCATCGGGTGCTATAACTGACATGGCGGGCGGTACCATGCTTTCGACTATTGCTATATCAATGTATTTTACGTGAAATGCATGCAATGAAGCTGTACAAACCATGACAAAGTCCGGATTGACATCACACAAGTCCACACGTTCAAGAAAGTCTACACGTTTCTTTGACATTAAAAATATAGATGCTTGAAGGCATTTGATCTTTCGATTAAAAAACTAACCCATGCATCAAACTAACAGCTAAAGTTATGTTATTGTTCCTAAGCCAGGTAAACCACTATATGATGTCAATCCTTATCGACCTATCGATGTCTTGAGCTCTCTGAGCCAAACTTTGGAATGACTTATTAAAAGTAAATTATTTGAAAACAATTTTAGAGAAGAGCAGAGTTTCGCATAATACTTTAAACCGATTAGTATACGTATGACCGACTTAGTTATGGAATTTAACAGAGAAGGGATAAAAGTTTTACCCGATAGATCGCAATTAGTTTTTATATATATATGGATGTATTTTTAATATAAGATAAATACTGTGTAAAAAGCAAAATAATTAAGTGAACTAAGAGATGAACAATAAATTTAGTCTTAGTCAAGTCTGTGGGACTATCCATACAAGCTTAGGGCGCTTAATATTATAATGCGTTATTCGATTTTTGTTAAACGTTGTAAACTATTTAAGAATTACTTAAGAACATTTTTTGTTCGTTCTTTGCATCTTCTTGTTTTTTTTACAATCACAAAATTTGACGCATTAGTGACTTGCGTCGAGTTTTTATTTTTTTATAATCGAACAACCTAACAGTCCCGATGACTCCATATGAATGGGTATGGCCGCCCAGCAGGCGTCATTTCGACTTGAATGCCGTGGTCAATATAATCGATGAAGATAATCGATGAAGATAATCGAATTACTTGATACGCCCCAAATTGAATTAATTCAGTAAGAAGCCCAAGACCACTACGTAATTAACTAGTGATAATTATATACAGGATTGGGGTGGAGAAATCGCGAAGAAGTGTCTCACAGACGAGTAGATTTATTTAAAAAATTTCGTAGCAATTCTTAATCTTTTTGATCGGAGATTGTGTTTAAAATTTAATAATTTGTATGCGTGTTACGTGTAGTAAAAAGCAGACAAGATTTCGAAGCCATTACTTACTACATCTTAGTGAGTGAGTAAAGCGAGTAACACTATACAATGAATTTTATTTAAATGCCTGCATACCATAAGGCTTTGTTCTTTCTCCTAGTCTCTGCCTTACGTTCATTAACGACCTGCTGTGCATAACGCAGACCCCTATCTAGTCGTTTGCAGATGACAGCAACTTTCCTTTAGTAAGAGACCATGCAGCAACGGGATACAGAACATACGTTGCATGATGAATAATACGTGAAGTCGTCATCTCATAAAAATATCCAAATGGGATCGGGTAAATAGGCGAAGCTTTAATGCCACCGAAAACCCGTGCCCCCTATCTCCCAACGCATAGGAAAAGTGATGAACAATTTCCCTTCTTTGATGGCGTCACCGTAAAAGATCCGAATGTAAAACGAAATCAAGGGCTTAGGTTTTTTAAAGCGGGCAAAATTAGAGTATACCTAGCATGTGTGGGCTGGAATTGTCAAACGTTGCTTGGAGGCCCTCGAACGCATACAACGAAAAGCTGAGATGCTCATCGATCGGCGAAAGCATGTGCAAAACTCTCGGCACCCTTGAGTAGTGTCGTAAAGTGGATTGCGTTGCGCTTATGTACAGATGCATACAGGGAAAGTGTTCTACAGAGATAGAGGGAATATGTCCACCAATTAAATCCTCCAACAGGACTACACATCGTTCGCAGCGTTTTTATTCACTCGTTCTGGAGTTACCGCACAACCCACTACCGCGACTCCTTGTTTTTTAATCGTACTGCTCGTCTTTGGAACAACGGACCGTTGAGTGGTCTTACCCGTCTTATCTGATATCTCCATTTTCATGTCGTTTCAACGTTTACAAACTATTCTACTTTCTTATCCCATTCTTCGTATGACGATTCGTATAGAAGACAACCCATGAGTGGCTGGTCATAGAAAAAGAAACAAAGCTATATGGTAAGGCTTTAAAGTCATGTTAAAGGCACAAAGTTTCCCTTAAATTATTTTTCGTTTTCTTTTCACTTTAAAATATTCTATTATTGTTTTTATATTGTATTGAAGCATTATTGATATAAAAATGCGATGTCCTTTTTGCTTTAATAAAATTTTATTAACGCTTATTGTCCTTTAATAAGATTTAATTAAACTTCAAAGCCACATCGCTACGCCGTCGTTGCGCTCCCTGAGGAGTAAATAATTCCTTTTTAATTTTTTAACAATACATGGAATGCTTTTTATCCCGAACGTTGCACACTTCACTACTCAACTGCTCCGTTTTTAAGAACAATTTAGCCAGGTTTAGCTTTGCCCGCCTATTGGTAACACAAAAAAAAAACATTTTTTTTTTTTTTTATCTACTTAAAGACGATCGATCTAATTCCTAATGAACTACTAATGAGGAAAAGCTATACACCAGAATAGACTGAATAGATTTGCTTTAATGGGAAACGAGTACAAGATCCGATTAAAGTTTATTTAATTTTGTTATTCTCTGCATTCTATCGTAGGTCTACTTTAGCATATCTAGTCTAGTTTTACTGGCATTCATAGGCGATGAATGGGAATATGTGATGGGCGAACAAGACCGGCCCCGCAGTGAGACAATGATCGAAAAGGGAATCATTGGAAAATGTAAATATCATCCCGAAATATTATTAATTATGACAATTCAAAGATATGCTCTATATATATATATTTGCAGTGCAATTCAGATTCAATATAGCAGTTCTCATATGTTCCGTGGGCCTAGTAATATCTTCTGCATTCATGATCTGCGGCTTAATTAAGGTAATTTTGATAAGTGCTTTAACAAGTGCACCGCTTTTTACGACTTCATATGTTCAATATATAAAATATTCCCGACTAGCATGTATAACGGAACTGAGTTCATCTTATCTGGCTGTCGGTCATGTAAATATTACGTAGACTTATCTCATCAGGCTAAGTTCGCAAAAAATAATTATCAGTTCGACCGAAATGAACAAAAACTTCTAGAACCTTAGACCATGTTAAGCCTTAAACTCGCCTCTAAACTTTTTAACTTAATTCAAAAATCAGCAAAGGATCAGCTAAGGATCAATTAACAATTACTATATATATAGATACGGCAAAGTATTGTATGTGAATATGATTTTATTGGGGTATTCGTAGAGAAATTTTTTTTTTTTTTTTTTTTTTTTTTGAAGAAGCAAAAGTTGATTTCTTTATAGTGTAAAAATAGTTTATCAAGAGCAGCAGAATTCAGTAGATTTGAACTCGTAGTAATCTTACGAGTTATCATTGCTTCAATTAATACCTTTGCCTCGTCCCTATCGGATCCTACTGTCCTTCCGGTACGGTAATGCAAAAGCACAGAAACCCCAGTTTTGGCACTGGCGTTACGTCTATTCATTGCCTCCATACGGACTCAATGGTTTTTTCTTGCTTGTAATAGAAGTGAAGTATGCTGCAAATGCTGCTTTCGAATATCCACATTCGGGGTAAGGGCAACAAAGGAAAACCGTTGCGCAGATTTAAATAAAAATTTTTTCCGCACCCATGCATTGCGATATCAGCTATGAAATACATGAAGCCAGTGAGTCTTCAATGTGCACTTGACTGCAATTAAATCCACTGTTCGGAAGAAACGAGACGACTTTCCGAATAACCTAATAGTGCTGCCAAATCATATAAAAACACGACTTGACACAGTTACGAGGTATAGTGGGTTTAAGACGATTCACGATCGCTGTACCGACCGAATCGATTCCCATCTAGCATATAAATAACGCACACAAGACTTACCAAGTAATTTAGGTTATTAGCAGGTTCGGTCCAAGCCGAATATAATTTCTTTAATGTTTTCATTTCTTTTGTCTTAAATCTTAATGCAACAACAACAACAACAACAACAAAAAAGGAAATTTCCAATCTATTAATACCTTGGATGATATTAATGGCGACGAATATTGTCACCGAGCTGGCATACTTTTTTAATTTCGCATTTGGTGAAAGGGCAAATTTTGAGCCAATTGTAGCTTTCATATTTACAATGGACTTTTTCATTATCTCATTGAACGTAAGTAAACATTTTGCCACGAAAATCACCAAAACACACATTTGTGCGTAACATTTTTAATGTGTACGTGTGTGTGTGTGTGTGTTTTTTTTTTTTTTTGTTTTTTTCGCAGGTATACTGTTTGATATGTGTTGCATCGCAATATCAAGTATTTAAGGAGTGCGAACGACTCGACAATCGAGAATCAATTGTAAATATTTATGCATATGTAGGGTCTTCTATGATAATAAGAGATGTCGTTTTAAATTTTATGGCCGATTATTGAGCTTAAATTTGGGAATAAAGATTCGCAGATTTTCAGTTATTTTCCGCTAAAATTAAACGAATAAAATCGTGATACGCAACAGTATGTTACAAACAAGAGATACGGTTGTATGTGAGACTTCAAAGTGACTTTTTGATTCATCTTGTAGGCTGACGGGAGCTTTTCAAGAATTCTGTTAATTCGACTCATTATTATTATGGAACGATCGATTTTGACTGATTTTCTTTTTTTCGCCTGAAATAGAAGAAGACATTTATTTTCGTCATAGTAGTCATACTGCATGATTATGTAACTGATTTGAAACGACATCTTTTATTGAAGCACTCTATACGTATGTATAGAAATATGTTACAATAAAACCTTATTTCTATATGAAGAGCAATGAGGACTTGCACGTACCAATTAATATGCCAATAGCTAACCTTACAGCGGCGCCTCTCAAGCGAACACATAAATCAATTTTTCCAACTATAATCGAAGAAGTCGCATAAATTTCATATTCAAGTTAAATTTATAAATATGTTTGTGCAATGGATAATAAAACAATTTAGGCCCACAGCAGTCGACATATCAACGTTTATTCTGTTCATCATGGATAAATCATTAAAAGAAGCATTAAACACACATAATGTGTGTGATTTTGTTATGAAGTAAATAGTCACTGAACTAATGACTATATGTTCCTTCTCTTCGATCGGTTGGTCCACTTCAACTTCTGCCGAGTGTCAATACACCTTTGTACTGCAAGTGATGTGATGGGGTATAAAAATTTTGCGTTAAGAAAATTGCGATGAATTATAAATCGGATCAACTTTGAAGTAAATTACTTAGAATATTGTTAAGAAAGAGTTTAAAATCAATTTCAATTGACTTTGACATTAAGTGAAATTCTTCATAGTTTAAATGTGCATGTGTCGTAGTATTCATGCAAAGCTCTTTTATTCCATAGGCAGAAAATTTATTAAATGGCGAAAATTGTCAATCAGTGGCTTGGCTTTAGCCGAACATTATCCTGTTTGTTTCATTCACAGAATGATTTCAATCTTGCCGAATAATGCTCGATAATGAAATTGTTGATGAAATGTCACGAATATTGGGGCAAACGAAGTAGACCAATTAATTAATTGATAGTTGGCAGCAAAGAACTTTCTTTTTTATACCTCTTATTCTCTCACTCTGCAAAGCATGTATGTGTGTCAACCATGAAAAGCTTTAGAATCATTATTGAATCACTTTAATATACAACCTTGCTACATACTTGCACTTTTACCCAACGATGGAATTAAGAGAATTATATTAAAATAAGGCGCTCCGACGAGGCTTATATACGCTCGTCCCTTTCATTGTTTAAATAGCTCTTCGTATATTTTCCATATAATTATTATATAAAGCAATCTTTAAATTTTCATAAGCTTGTGCAACAACAAATTATTAGGTTATTCGGAAAATCTTTTCGTTTCTCTCGAACCGTGTATTTCAACGCATATTTTCATAGCCAAGTTCATAACTAGGACGCACTGTCTTCATGTATTTATTTTCCTTTGAATCTACGCAAAAAATTTCGTTTGATTCGCTTACCCCGATTGTGAAAAGTCAAAAGCAGTTTTTTTTCAGGCGTACTTTACTTCTAGCGAGAAATCAAAAATGATGAACATAAAGCCAATGCCAAAACTAGGATTTCGGAAAGAAGGCCAGTAGAAGCTGATAAAGACAAAAGAAAGGCATAAATTGAAGCAAATCGTCGAATGACAACGCGTGAGATTACTGCGAGCTTAAATCTATTGGACCCTGCTGCTGCCATCGTTGGCATATCATCGTCTCAGTGTAATCAGCCCTTTCAACATTCGCCGCCAAAGCATGTGCGAATATTCACAAAAATATTTTAATATAGAGACAACTGATTTGCATAGGGAGCATTGGAGTGCTAAAACACGCCCTTCTGCGTGCACCCGAATGGCACATGGCACATATGTTCCCAGTTATAATAGAAATTTGTATTTCTTGACTTGAATTATGCCAAAGTAGGATAAGTATATACATATAGTTTTGCATTAAGAAGAGAAACACTTCTGATCGGATCTTACTTTCAATATATAAATTTTTTTTGCTGGCTCTATGACATGTTGTATTCCTTTCCTCGAAATTATTCCAAAATGACATTATAAACTGATCGTGAGAGAATATAGCTTCTAAACACTGCATATAATCGATAAATTCAAATACTCACTTACCGCCCTCTCTAGCTTCATATCGCATTCGCATTTTTTGAAAATAAACTTCTTTCGACGATTTAAATTTTCCAACTAAATCTTTAATTGTTCGTATGTGAAAAAGTTTATAAAAATCCAACGTGATGGGTATATTCTTACTCGATTATATAGTAGCTAATAATAAGTTGAAAGACCAGAAGCAAGGGCAACTTTTTTATTTGTTGTTTTTTTATTGTGTTTTACTCTTCAAATTTCATTTAAGAGCATATATCTTCTATCGAGTCACCCTGTAAAAGTATGCGTTGTTCAGTTCTTTTCTTTGATAATGTTTTTGTTTTTCGCCGCCTATTCACTACGCCGTCCTCCTCATCCATCATCCGCAGTATGGTTGTCTGAAATCAAAAAAGCAAGCAAAAGCAATTTTTTTGAAAAAGTAGAAAATATCTATACATATATACATGTGTACCCTAACAATTTGTATGCATATATATAGTAAAGGTACACACCTGATCTGAACAGTCCATAGGTGCCACTGATATGTCGCGAACAGCTCGAAATTTTCCGCAATTATTTAAATGTTCATTCTCCAAGCGAAAGTAATTCCAAATGAAACGGCGAAAAACCTCAAGGGGACTCAAAATAGTTACCATAACATCGCCTTCCATATAGCCAGCTTCGATCAAACTCATTGATACCGTCCAACCAAAACGTAATATTAAATCTTCTACTATGCCAAAATAATAGAACCACTGTTCAATTAAACGAAATCAAGATAGGAAAAATAAGCGACTATGACATAAAAATGACAAAAAAAAGTTAGAAAACTGAAAATAATAAGCACTTTGGACCATATCTACCTTAGCCAATATCTAATGGATAATAAAATAAGATAATTATTGTCGTCTGAGAATAAAAATGAGAGCAATACGTTTTGTTATATATGGGCGTGTCAATCGTTTATCAGGAACACTTGTTATGCAAGCCTCTAAGCTGACCCTAGAAAATGTACCAACTTTCAGCTTTCTAAGTAATTTTCACGGCTATATATGTTGAGATTGTATATAAACACTTGCCTTGAAAGCCACGTGTACCACCTTGTGTCTTTCTTTATATCAATTATTGCACTACAACTTTGCCATCAGATACTTAAAATCTCTCTTGAGAATCTAGATACGATCAGGGCCGATATGGAACAGTTTGAAGAGCAGTCATCGAAACTCAGACAAAAGCGTCTGACAGCGCCTGACACATAAGGTACCAAGGCGGGAGAAACCTATTCCTTGTAAACCGGATCGCGGCGACAGCTACTTGCCGTACTCTTAAGTCTATCAAAGAAATTCGTGATAAAGAAAAGAAGATCTCTCTGCATAAAAAAGTAGTAATTATTCTGTTTTGCAGTGAGCGTGATAAGTATTCATTATCATTCAGGCTATCGGTTAGTAATTCACCAGCGACCACCAGTGTGAATTATAGCTCAGAAGAGGCTAATGTCGATGACAACGAAATCTCCTTAATTGATATATTTGAACATGAAGTGGGGAATCGGCCGTGAATCTAACCCTGAGCCATTTCGCTTGAATTAGAGTTGCTTCTAATCTGTAGACTTATGCGAGCTGCTGCGTTGAACTATAAATCCATATGAAACCGAAAATTTTCCTCCCTCTTTTTAATAAGAAAACATTTATTTTATGCATTTATTACAATAACATATAAAGAAACGTTTCGTCTATGCTGCTGATAATCTTAACGCATCGTATGCTTCTGTCGATCACATAATTCGGAAAAAAGTGCGGTTGGGGTCTTTCTCATAATTCACTCCCGAAGGAACGTAAGCTAAGCTATGTTAGGTCCCGCTATGCAGAGTGCCATATTATTATAAAAAAAGCCAGTGATGGAATAATCGTAGCCCAACTGAAACCTGCCGCATGCACATCTACCAATGCCTAACTAGTGACAACAAAAGATTGCTTTTGTTTGTACAAGCCACCGAACCTTAAGAACTTAAGCCTTTTTTTAGCGCATACAAGGTGATATTCCGTCCCTTGTTACAAGTTTCTTAAATGAGGCAATACAAGCAAATATTGATTCTACAGCATATGCGTAAACATCTTTCCAACGCTTGCACCCACTCGTCTTATTGTCACCGCCACACCCTACGACACACTATCGCAACTCATCGTTCTTTCACCCCATTGCCGTTTTTACTACTAGCAGTAGTGTTTCCTAACATAGCTAGTATTTCCACTTTTAAGTTTTTCTACTCCTCTCGACCCATAACTCTTCCTGATCATCACCGTGTCCCACACATATCGGGGACATACCGTAAATGGCTAGCTATATAAGGGAATGAAAAGAAGCTCGTTGTCTTGACTTGAGTCTTTCTCTTTTCGCTTAGATTTCAGGTCAATGTGAATAAAAATTCGCATTGAAAAAATTTCAACAAAGAAGATTTCCAAGTATGATTCATCTAACCAAGTCTCAACTCCATTGTCGCTATACATTGTAAGCTACGCGTATAAATTTTTGAGAAACTTTATCAAAGTCTAAACTGGCCCTTTTGTTTAACGCCAATGCTTGCATTATATCAATTGGCTAACCGACTAAGTGTAAACGATAGCCGGCGCCCTCCAGAATGGTAAGCAACATCATCGCGTTGAGGAGTCCTAGTATGGCCAATGTGAGGGAACGTGTATTAACCGAATCATATTCTCTGGACCTGGGATAACGTATGTATCACTTCACCACCTGCTTAACGGCCCCCGATTCCCATATTCCCACAATCAACCTAAAACTTCGCACAACGATGGTATCGCGTCGCTTAAATGTGTGGACATTCTATCAACAGCGAAAATTGCATACAGCGATTCCATTTACGAATGGACATCCTGACATACATGGCACCGCGAATACCCAAGAAGAAGTAACGACACAGCAATGCTATATTTCCAACCGCAACACTACTTCTCTGGTCCAAGACAATCCACAGATTTATTGTAATATCAATTTTATATTGCAATATAGTAACGTCTGTCCATCCATCCCAACTGGTGCGAATAAATCAATTTTCAAAGGTTTTTTGAATATTTCGTATGTGGAAAGCACACATTCACACCTTCCAGAATAATGTATAATGCAAATAAATAGTGTAAAGTAATCAGTTTACAAGCATTCTCCGTTGGTTAATGTGAAACGCAAAAAAAACAAAACAAAAAAAAAAAAAAGAAACAAACTTAGAAAACGTTACTATGCCTTATGAACCTAATTGCCCTGAGCAAGCAGAAGGTAACGTTTTAATATAAAGTTATGTATTAAATAATTTTTAATAATTTCTGCATACCGTCGAGGCATAAACAATTTCCTCCCTTAGGAAAGTATTATCACCGGCTTTCGCATCAAATAAACCCCAATCCATTTTAATATCCCACGTGTACGCATAACAAGAGGAGACGACAGCCGCTATTATCCAACAATAAAACCACGGGTTATTCTTTGAGAGAACATACTCTGCTGTAAAAGCGGAATAGAAAAAAAAACAAAATAAAAAAAACAAAAACAAAAAGAAAAAGAGGAAGAAGAAAAAAAAAAAAAAAAAAAAAAAAGCTCATGCAAATGCAAATAGTTTTTTTAAGTAATGTTCGCTATGCTAAGTGTCTTACCATGCGTTGTCTGATATTTATATGAAAATATTACTACAAAGAACGATGTACCATATTTAGCAGCGTTAACCAAATGTGGGAATGCCTCTTTAGTGTCACGAAAGCGACGCAAGCATTGAGCGAAGCGAAAATAAGCCGGTAAAATTGCCACCACAGGACGGATGAGAGAAACATCTTCAATGCAATGGCGGCCACCGTCTGCGAGAAGAAGAGAAACAAAATTGAAAAAGAAAGCAACTCACAGAGTATTTGCCATTGAAGTGGTTAACCTTGTGCCTCTGCCATTTTATGCCATGTGGGATTTTGACCGAAGAAACATACAACGAACGGTATGTCTAAAAAGGCCGGTACGATACTGTTTAGCTGGTCGGCCAACCAAAAGTCAGCAAAATTGACAAAAAAAAAAGGAGCCATAACCACACGGCTAAGAATGCGTACCGACCAGTAACGAGCTTCATGATAGAATGTTTTAGTTGGATTAAGTACAAAAATAGCCATAACTGTGTACAAAATTAAGGGAGCAGAATACTGAGGTATACCCAATGGATCGCAGTATATATAAAATAATACCGAAATGGCCCATAAAACGCCAAATACTGTAGCAATTTCCATAATGTGCTGCTCGGATAAATGATTACGAGGATCCAATTCAAATATGAGAACGTGATTGACACCCGAAGAACGCCAACCGTAGACATTAACGCCCCAAAGAAAAAGGCATTCAATGATTAAAAACGGCCCCCGGAACATACGTAATCCAGCGCGCCAATCTTCGCCAAATCCGTGAAAAACGACCGAGAGTATAACGGTAGCCAATAAAACAACAAATGCTCCCGAAAATAGGCCGACCTTAAAAGTAGTCCACGGACTTTGCTGCTCTCCCAACGGCGGTACCCTTAAACGTTTCATAGCTTTTTGTCGATCTCCTCCTTCTATGTCGTGAGTAAAAGCGGTCTCCGTCTCTTGTATCAGACGATCGATATCTTTATTTACATAAAAATGCGCAGCCTCCACATGTTCCTTACGCCATTTGGCTCCAACATCAACATTTAACAGCTTATCATGTTTCTTAAGTATCTTACGAAATCCGGTGAAGTTCAAATTTTGATAGTTTTGTAATAGAATTAAACCCAAATAAAATTCACTAAATGCTAATTTGAGATCTTGCAGCTTACGAGCAGATACATTTCGTTTGCCAAGCGGTGTTTTCGTTTTCCATGCCGGTTGCTTCTTCACGTGACCCATTTCCAAAGCTTCAGTCAATTCGCTGCGCAAATTACCATATTTACGGGTGGCTTCGGCCATCTTCTCCGAATAGAATGTATTGATTTTAGCCAACTCTTTGTCGCAATAGTGAAAGAACTGCTCATCGAATTTGGCAAAATAGCGTGAAACCATTTCCGGATCAACAAGTTCGGCGGACGGTGCCTGTTCAACAGCTCCATAAAGCATAGATTTCATCTCCTGCAAATAAATGTAACGCACTAACATGCTTTACTATCATAGCTTCATTTAAGTTAAGCAAATTTTCTGATCGTGAAAACAAGTAACCTAACCAAATCGAACACCCTAATACCGTATATATCATCATAATATATAATTTGAGATAAGCTCAGAACGTGTTAATACTTACCATATACGCATAAATGATAAAATCTCTTCCCAAAGCTAAAAGCTAAGCGTCGGCATGAACTCTGCCAATGAAGTCAATCATAAGAATGTTTTCATCCTAACCTTTACACCACCCTTATCCCTCTCTTTTCCCTATATCAGTGTTTAAGGTATTGACTAAATTACGGTTGACACACTGCCCACCGCTTCTGGTAAAAAAATATAAATCTTTTCTTTCAAATTCTTTACCCAAATTCCATATAGAGTGCGGCAAGAATACCACTGTTATCTGCATGTATATTATTATGCGGAGAAAAAGTGGATCCAAAAGTCATATTTTTAAAAAATTAAAGATTCGGCACAAAGATCGAAAGAATAGAAAATAGCTTCAATGGGATTATTGTTAGGACTATTCCTCTCCCCGCTACTAGTTTGAATAAAAGTTTGAATAGGATAGCCCTATTTTTTCAGCCCTCTCTCTCTCACAGAAAAGCTCCTGCTAAAAGTAAGCCTTCGTATATAGCAAGAAGTATCAAATCACTACGGTAAGTTTGAACTATTAAGGTATACCTTCCGGAAGGATCCCTTCACATATAAATGTTTTCATGAAAATATGGCAATCGGTTTTAGTTTTGGGCATTTTATACCGAAAAGAGATGAAGTATGGTAATAAGTTGTTTAACAAAACCAACTGAGAACAATATAGTCGAGCAAGGCCGACTCTTAAATACCCTACACCATATTGTCAAACACAATTCTTATTTTTATTATAAAACGTAACGAAACGGGCCGAAGATACAACCTAATGTAGTACATGTAGGTTGCATCCTTACATAGGGCAGGATCCAAAAATAGGCATAGATGATCCAAATTTTGTAGATTTAATTTGTATAAAAAATTGCTATTATGGGTCAAATTTCATGACCACATATTAAAATTTAGACTTTTCTGCTCTGCAAAAAAACAATTTTCGTGAAAATCGCTGTTAAGGTAGGATCCAAAAAATATGGCGAGATGCTCCAAATATGGCAGATGTTCATTTATTATCATGATATAATTTTCATTGTGAAGTATTGAAAATTATACCTTTTTATGGTATGAATTTTAGTCTTCGTTATATGGGACTGTGTTCAAAATTGCCCCAGCCGGTCCAAACTTTTCTTACCCATTTAGACTGTCGAGATAGTACTACTTGCAATTTTTTTTCCATATCATGACTTTTCAGAATACAAAGTTGTAGGGGGGAGTGATCGAAAAAGCAGACCGATCCGAACCATTTTCAATAGCGTTCGTGCTAAAGCCAAAATACGTCACTGTATCAAATTTCATCGAAATATCTCAAAAATTGCGACCTGTAGCTTCAATACAAATTTACAAAGACAGACATCAGACGGACAAACAGACAGACTTAGATCAATTCAGATTATGATTCTGAATCGATCGGTATAATAAAAGATGGGTCCATCTTAAGCCCTTCTGCGTGTGACATACGACTGCACTAACCGAATACACCCTCTACCACAAGCGGTATAAAGTATAAATATTCACAGCATTTCATATGAACAACATCGGTTCATAGTTCAGTTCACGTGCCTATATAAGTGTTTTCATGAAAAAGCATTTTTGCTGCATAATAGCGAAATCAAGTGAAAAATCGGTACAAAAGCCACCAGGTAAGTAATAGTCACCCTTGCCCCGCTACAATATATGTGCTCTTCGTGGCATTGTTACATAAAACGTGCTTCGTGATACACAGTCAATTGAGAAATTTGTGCATACACATAACTAATGATAATAAATCCTCACTTCCTTGCGCGCATATTCACGTCGGTAATACAAGTTTAACATTTATTGCGAAGGCTGTTTGGATCTCACTAGTAAGTAAATAAAAGGTTTTTAATACTCGTAGTATAAATTCTTTTTTCATACATATTTACAATATATATTGTCTTTAATTATGAAATATATATTCGTTGTATATATATGTAAAAGAGAACGGATAACAAACACGGAAAGGCAAAGAAAGAAAAAACAAAATTCTATACTTAACTGGTTAAGGCTGCAGTACAAAAAGAAAGGAATTGCTGGACATACGTGTAAATAGGAAAATTAAACAAAAACCGTTATCAGTACATTAACTTGTATTTCCCAGTAGTTATACTCTTTAATTCAAATTTACTTTTAAACCCCCAAAGAAAATAAAAAACAGGTAACAAAATTATATTCAGCTATGACCGAATCGTTCATACATAGCTGCCACCTCTATCCTAAGAAATTATATATAATAATAATAAAACAAGTAAGAACATTATAGTCAGACATGGCCGACCTTCGCCGAGTACAGTTATTCACTCGTTTCGGTCATAATACAAACAATATTTATCCATTATTTTCATGCAAAGACATACTTGTCATAGTTGAGAGCCCGTATTCTGAAAGCAACAACAACAATTAATAACTTACGACTTTTGATGAGAATAAATCAATTTAAGGCAAACATACTGCATAGATTCCTAGAACGTGGTCAAAGACGTAAGCGAAATGCGCAAGTCGAAATCCTTTTAACATAATCCTAATCTGATACCGGGCTGTTCTTAATGGAAACCTTCAGAAATCATTCTTTTAAAATCCTTGTGTGGAGCTTAAGATCATCATCGTCTTCAAAGATCCCATCAATATTCAAGAATGATAGCCAAGTGCTTTTATAGAGGTTCGAATTCTTTAGACGATCCTCTCAAAAGAATGTTCTTCAATTTTCAACTGATTGATTTCCATTTGAACTGCGAGAATCATAACGGCTGACCCGCCGCTAAAGCTCAGGTTTGACAGATTCTTTTGAAAAATTAAATTTTTTTTTTGTAAAATTGATGCGATTTTTCTTCCTACGTCATTTGTGATACAGGGTATGTTCACTTAGTGCGAACGTAAGTAATACACAGAAGAGCCTAAGATGGATCCATATTTTATTATACCAATCGATTCAGATCATAATCGGAATTGCCTGAATGTGTCTGTCCGTCTGCCCGTCTGATGTCTGTTCATGTAAATTTGTCTTCACGCTACGGGTCGCAATTTTTGAGAATTTTGATGAAACTTTGTACAGTGCCGTGACGAACGCTATTGAAAATGGTTCGGATCGGGCCGCTATTTTTGACCACACCCCATGTAGCAACCTAATCTGAAAAGTCGCTATATGGAAAAAAATTGCAAGTAGTAGTATTTCGGCATTCTAAATTGGTATCGAAACTTTGGGCCGATAGGAGGAATTTTTGAACGACCTCTCATATTAGGAAGACCCAAAGGTACTATTTTCAATGCTTTTGCGATGAAAATTATATCGTAATAGTAATTTAACATAAAAAAATTAACTGTACCAAATTTGGACCATTTCAACCCATTTTTTTTGATTCTACTCTAATCAGGATTTTTAGAGCAGGGAAGTCTAAGTTTTCATATGCGGTGATGGAGATTGATCCACCACATTATAGTAATTTCGTACAAAGATAGACTCTAGAAAATTTAGACCATGTACGCCTATTTTTGAATCCTGCCCTATGTAAGGATTAAACTTGCACTACATTAGGTTCTGTTTGGTTGTTGTGTTCTTCATGAAGACGTAATTGCAAAATTTGCCTTTACATAGAAACAAAATATAATTTTTGTATTCTAGAATAAAAATAAGGTTTGCGTTAGACAATGTGGTATAGGGTATTCAATAGTCGCCCCTGTCTGACTATAGTGATTTTACGTTTCTTTTAAAATTATTTTATTTGTTAAATTATTGGAAAAAACTCCCCAAGTTCCCAAAGAGAATGAACAAATGCAATTGCATTTTAAAGACAATTCCTAAAAAATTATAGCCCATCAAAGGCAATAAACAAGTGCTTATATTTACGAGAACTGCTATGATTTTTAAAAAATTTATTTTAAAAATATTTTTAAAAATTTCGTTAACCTACGCATAAACATGTGTAAAGAGTGCTGCCCACTGTTTTAATCAGCGTTTTGTAAACACATTCGAGAGAATAGAGAATTTTTGATACCAATTACCTTACCATCAGTAGATGAGAACTTGTTACTTCTTACTAATCATTATAGGTGTTCGAACAAAGTATATTTGTTTTTTTTTTATTTAATTTTTAATAAAATTTTGGATCAATCTTTGTACTAAACTGTAAGTTTTACTTATTGGACGTTGTTGCCTTCTGCTAATGTCTACTTAAAAATACGACTTGTAATCATCAAACGAATGCATGTATTTTGATCATTTGCTCATTTGAAAAAGGTGCTTATTGAGAAAAAGAAATGAGTATTAAGAGTAATATTTTTTTTTTTTTTATCCATCACCAAAGCGAGCGCTAGAAGCAAAAACGGAATCTCTCCGTCTCTTACATCTTATTGATCGATCGCAAAAACAAAAATATCGGCTTTAAGTTCTGTGCAAACGTTGGAAGTTGCTGATGCAGATTGTTACCGCCATGGGGCCAAAATGAGAACGCAGTTTTTTTTCATAAGCGAATACGTAGGTGCTTTACTTGCTACGTTCATTATAATATATAAATAAATGCATATATAATTTTGTTTGCGCTATAACGTATTTTCGGTGTAAACATGTATATGTATATGTATGTGTGAAAGAAATCGTTATGGGTTCTACTTGTTGGTTTTGTTTGTAAACAGTAGCATGTGCGATTACTGCGTTTTGTTTATGTTTATAACAAATGAAGTGAAATATTCGCAAAAACACACAAACATTTGACGAAATATTTTCTCAATTAAGCTTTTAAGAGTCATAAAAAGCTGCATTTGCCTTAAAAATGAAAGCTTTTATTTCGTTGTATGACATCTGTTTCTCAGTGACGTCACAAATATTTGACATGAATAGCAACGATGCATATGCATATATATACATATAAAAATATAAATTCAATACACATGTACATAAGTGTATTTATATACATAAGTGTATTTATATACACTTTTTTAACGTCACTTTATTCTTTTCCTTTATTTTGTAAACTCACTAATAATGATATTTTTTTGCAATTTTCTGTTATATATTTTCTTATACCTCATAATTAATATATTGTTTCCGCCATTCTGGTGTTATATGCGCCGATAAATGTTCTGCAAATTTCATGTTTTTCCTATTTTGCTTATATTCTTTTCACAATTAACTTAATTTCTAAACATATTTTATTCATTTATTTATTTATTTCTTCTTTTGTTTTATTTTTTTTGTTTTTTTTGTTTTTTTTTTTTTTTTGGTTTTATTTATATGTTTTTGTGCTTTAAGAGAATTTCTATGCAACAGCAGTTTACACTATAATGCGTACGAGGAAACGAGCAAAACAAGCAAAGGTAGCAGCATTTTCTCGCAAAGAAAACCAACTAATTGCTCGACAGAAGACCAACGCACATTATCGGGAAAATTAGGAAATTTTCTATAAGCAAAAGAACGGAGAAAAGTGAATATTAAGTTAAGAAACGAAAGCTTTTCGGCTTAATCTTAAAAGCTTTACAAAAAATTTTAAAATAAATTTTCAAAATAAAATCATTGACATAACTAATATTAAGATTTACTATTCGCTTTTAATGTATAGAAAAAAAAATAAATAAATAAAAATATTTATTATACCCGAGACCACTTACGGTAAAATGTATATTAAGTTAAAACGATCGTATGCAACACACACAAGGGCTTAGGAGAAATCCATTTTTTATTATGCCAATCGATTCAGAATCGTAACCTGAATTGAATTAAACCTGTCTATCCGTCTATCCGTCTATCCATCTGTCCGTCTGTGGCCTATCTGTGTAAATTTGTGTTCAAGCTACAGATCGCAATTTTGAGATATTTTGATGAAATTTGGTGCACTGACTGGTGCAAGGACAAACGCTATTGAAATTGATTCAGATCGGTCCACTTTTTCGACCACTCCCCATATAACGCCGTATTTTCACAGGTCATTGTATGGAAGAATTGTAATTTTCAAAATTTCTTCACCAAAGTGGACTCTTTAGCCCATTTTTTGTTTCCCATCCTAACAACGATTCTCACGAAAATCGATCCTTTGTAAAGCAGAAATGTAGAAATTTTAATATATGTGGCCGAGGCAGTTGATCCACAACATTATATTTTTCGATCCTATCCTATCGATTAAGGATTAAACTTGTACTACATTAGGTTGCGTTTTGGGTCCGCTTCCCGCTTATGTAGGAAGAAGATATAATTTTCGTCTTCAATAATAAAAATAAGAATTGTGTTAGACAATGTGGTGTTAGGGTATTTAACGATCGGCCTTACCCGTCTATAATATTCTCACCTATTTTTATTAAATATTATTTATGCATTTCTTTGCGTTTCTTTTACGTCATTAATTATCTAACTAAACTCGGAAATTTTCGATTGAAGACAAAATTTTGCCAAAGAAAATTTGCAAAGATTCACTTTAAAGCAATAAAGTAAAATAAAAAACAATTAATAATTATTTTGCCGGGCAAGACGGACTGTTTGCAATTCTTTGCTTATCGTGGCCATAAAATATCGAAACTTATGTCGCTTATTACCGTATAAAGGCTTATTTTTCATGACCAAACTGACATGGGAAGGTGTCCGAAAAATACGTCTTTGCCTTCTGATAAAGTATTTGGTGCTAGTTTCCATTATAAAATATTAAATATTGCGCGCAGTTTCATCAACTTACCTCCGAAATTGCGAGCCGTCGATTCTAGCCAGAAGCAGATGAGCTGAAACCAGACGGACATGCACCTGTGAAATCATTAAGAAAGTAATTCTGGAGCGATTAATATAATAAAAGGTGCATTTGTCTCAAGTCATCTCGGATTGTACATATGTCCGCACACACTATATTCAACATTAACATCGTTACGGAACACAGGCTGTGAGAGTAAGGTTTTCAAATTTTTGGAAGAAACGAAGGAAGAACGTCGGCATACAATCTTCATCGAAATTTCTTTTTATATATATGGCAGGTGAGCATTTGCATTAAATATGTTACAATGCTTTCGCGTTTTAGAATATTCCGGAATTACTTTGTATGGCGGCCAGGCAAGGTATCGGTGTTGCCGTTTCACTCACTTTTTTACACTACTACACAGCCCTTGGAGTGCAAAGTATATTAAAATTGTGCGGATGTATGTAATGCCAATTCAATAATTGTTTTTTGAATGGATTGAAGCTTGCCTGTCCGTCGGTCTGACTGTCAACGTGATACCTTTCTAAGCTAAGGGACTATCTAACGCCTCGAAAACTTGTGTGGAGTTGTAACCACTTGCCTTACCTGCAGAATGGCAGATGATCAGCAGACGAATGAATACTTCGATACCAGCTGGCGAAGTAATTTTCCGTGTATTTTGAGACTCTGTGCGCCATTGATCACCTTGGCATTAAGCCTTGTACCTTGTAGTGTACGGATGTTAAGCGCCCACAGACATCTACCCACTTGGTGTCTGCCCATGCATTTTATGTTTAACTTACAGGTCGTAAATTTTGAATATATATAGTTGACGAAACCCTAACGGGTTTTGGCCAAACGGCGAACTTTATTAAAAATCGCTTAAATCGAATCATTTTTTTTTGTGTATTTACTATAGCACTATATAAAGTCGGATTTGAACTCAATTTTTTGATATTTCTTAGAATAAGTCGATAGAAAATATTATTTTATAGCATCAAAAATAGACGTAGACAGTCTAGACAAAACGGAAAAATTTTTCGAACTATATTTCGTAAAAGGATTCCTATGAAAGGTAAGCCTTTATATAGAGAGCACATGTAGAATTTAAAATTTATTATGATAAAAATTTCCCCATTGTAGTAACATCCAAAGTTACGGCAGCGAATAACTGTAAAAAATTTCGTTGACATAGGTAGGAAGCAGGCCTTTGTATAGTAAAAAGTTGGAATCTTTAATACATCATGACAAAAATAGGTGAAAAATCATAAAAAATTCATTTTACTTAATTTAGACGAGGTCAGTTTTGGACTATCTGACATGTGAAGGTTCTCAACAGCGGTACGCTTTTACGTGAAAATAATGTATAATTTCTTTGATAAGCAGCGTTTGTGAGGTATTTGCCGGTCGTAATTGCCTAACTGTAATATTTTTACTCGTGTTTTTCTAAACTTGCGCGGATGTATGCAGCACTCAGAAGAATATTAAATGGGCCCAACTGTTACTATACCAATCGGTTCAGGATCAGTTGGAGGACTTTTGAATGACCTAAGTTCAGATCATGTGTTCGATTCGGACTAGTTTTTCGACTACTTCCCGTACAACGCCTTATTTTGAAAGGCCGATATGTAAGTGCAAGTTGGTGTGGCAGGATGGTGGTGGGCCCACTATAATATTTCTATTTTTTTTTTTTTTTTTTTTGTTTATTTTACGCAATTTAAAACTGCCAAGTAACACTTCTTCTCATATGGTAATCAGACGATTGTCGTGTAGTCTACTGGTTGCAATGGTCGCCACTTAGAGGAGATTCTCAGTTTCCATCTCTGGTGCGGTAAACCAGAAATTGTGTTTTACTCTTTCAAGTTTTCGTTGTAGTCTGTACATATATATATATATATATATATACTGCCACAATTGATTATTTGTTGATATTCATGAAAAATTGCCCTTAAATTGGAAATTAACCTTTTCCGCCTGAGTGGTCGAGTAGGCAAGAGTCTCGACTAGCAACTCAATGGTCGTGGGTTCAAATTTCAAATGCGGTAGAGTTTTTTTTGATGAAGCCGAAGCCTTAGATGCTAGCGTTTTAAGACTTTAGTCTTAGAATTTATTCTCTAGCTAAATTTATAATGATAATAGCAATAATAACTTTTTCAGTTATCGTAGACTCCTCGACAGCATTTGTTCCAGATAAACGCAATGAGATTAGAAGATTGGGAAGGCATCATATGATCAACTCATAAAATAAAATTAATATTGTTCCTTAAATTATGGAAAATGAATTTTCCAAGTTTTTATAGTTTCCTTTTATTCATTTAAATATCATATATTTACCGTTATATTGTTCCTATTGGAAGCCAGTAAGTAGCCTCTGTTGTTTTCCTCATCTTTCCATAATATTTACTTTTTTTTTTTTTTATAACATATTGTAAATTATATATGCAATATAAAATATGTCATATATATATATATATATATATAAATATATATATTTGGAAATTCATTTCGTTTTTTTGGACAATAAAAAAGCGATTTCTTTACAGAATAGTATAATTTACTAGATTTAAAGTTGCAGTGATGTCACAAGTTGTTATTTGCCGGTTTGCTTTAATTTATGCGTTTATATTGTCTTGCATCTGCTGCTGCTGGTCTTCCAGTACGTAATGTAAAAGCATCGAGACGCCAGTTTTGGCACGGACGTTCTACATCCAATAATCTTTTTTTTCTTGATTGATCATAATTTTCAGCTTCTCGCTAGTAATGGAAGTAAAGTACGCTGAAAAAACGACAGCATTGCGATGTCAGCTATTGAAGGCATGAAGACAGTGAGTCTTACATGTGAATTTGGCTATGAAAATATGCAATTACGTCCACTGTTCGAAAGAAACGAAAAGAATTTCCAAATAAGCTAACATACATCTATCTATGTATACGTGCCACCGAAGACTAAGGGGTATATTCGTTTTGTCAAAACGTTTGCAACGCCCAGAAGGAAGCATCAGAGATCCCACAAACTATATATGGTCTTGATCAGCATCAAATGCTAAATCGATTTAAGCCTGTCTAGCTGTGCGTCTCTGCCTGTTGGCCAAATCGGACAAAGTATACACCGACAGCACTACGTAAACTGAGAAGATCTCTGTTTCTTTAGACGAGTCCTTTTGAATCCTGCACGACAATGATGGGCTTTCCTTACATGCTGGACAAACTGCGAAAAATGGCTATTGATGAGTCCAAATATTGTTGCAGTAAGCAATCGATGTGAACGTTTGGCATTCAAGTATAGACTTTCGTATCAATCAACGCTTAAAAGGAAAACGCACTAATCCCGTGAATTATTGGCGAACTTTTGCTCTTTAGAATCGAAAGTTAATAGTTAATAATAGTTCGCCAAAAACTCAATTTCACTACATACACATGCTTATCTTAAAGTAATCATAATTATACGTGCAGGGTGTAGTTTATTCGAGAATACGTATAGTCATCGTATTCGTTTAATTTTACATAATGCGTCCACGAAAATTGAGTAGACTTTATCTAACAGGCCTTCTACGAAACTCCAGCGTGTGAATGCAGTACTTACTGTCGTGTTTTTTATTTTTTTTAAAGTCTAACGTGAAATTGATTCGTTAAAGAAGAGAGCAACGCAATGAATCAAATCGGAGCAAATCGATCATAATTGCAATGAAATCTTTACATATTGTGTAAATATCGAATAATATCTGAGCGTGAAGATAAATACCGCAATTACTGAGTACAATTTAAATTGCATTGCATTACGTTTCAATGCAGTTGTAAATAAGTAAAAACATCATGGTGGGTCAAGACCGATCATTAAAAATCCTACATCACTTCACTTCGCCAAATAGTATGACATAATTCTTCATTCATTTCCATGCGAAAATACCAAAAATAATGATATCTTGTTTCAAGACAGCGCATCCCAAACTTTAATTAATATGATCCCAATTTAGTAAAAGTTTACTTCTTGTTTTATCAAAGACAATGATAAGATTATTTAGTCAAAGTATGTTGCCTTAGAAAGATTTCTATTTGATACGAAGCCTTTCATAGATTCGCTGCGAACAACTTTTGACATTCGGATCGGAATCTTCTGCGTTGGGGTTCAAAACGTTGTTACGTTGTTAATAAAAATCACAAAATATGATAAATTGAAATTTATTAACAATTTAACTTTGTATGGTTTCTCTTAATTAAGGACCAGTTTTTTTCAAAATACTCAATAAAATGATCAATCAATTCAATAGAATATTGAAATTACATATATATAAACATATATATTATTCACTCTTGCCCGTGCGAATTGTAAATGAGTAAAGTAATGTCAAGCATACGGTATAAATAACGAATGCATGTATAATAAATTAATATGAAAATAATACAAAAAAATACGAAAAAAAAAACAACACACAATTGAGCAAAGCAAATTGTATTCTCTTCCTTTGTGTGTGTGTGTGTGTGTGTGTATATATATATATATATATATATATATATATATATATATATAATAACCCCACTCACACAATTGCATGCCCTTGCATAAGTACATATATTTATCAAATAGTGTGATCGTGACATTTTAGTCGTTATTTAAAACAATACCGTATTGTTTGTTACGCTACTCAAAATACAGTAATTCTTATTAGAATTCAAAACATGATCACGAACGAATATCCCCACCATGCACACGATACATTTTTTGTGATTTTCGTGAAAGTCTCGCACAATCAGTCAGTCTATCATTTTAGTACGAAATGAAGAGTTCACTATAACGCGTCTATGCGCACATGAAATGCCAGATAAGGCGAACTTTTCGCATCAGCAAACAGTCAAAACAGTGTTCACAAGTTTGCCGTGCTAAAAAAAAAAAAAAAAAAAAAAAAAAAAAAAAAATATTTAATCAAACCTTAAACAAATAAATAATCATTATCGTATCGCATTGATAGAACGAATTACAATAATGATAAGCATTTCCTTTCAATTATAATCAAATAAAGTGAAGAAAATTCATGAAATATAGAAATTTATATTTAGTTAACGATATTTTGTCTATATATCTCGTGTTATATATTCTCGTTAAAGGCTTAAAGATTTAAAAAGTGAAAGTGTTTAAATATCATAGATTAATTAATAAATAAATCTTATATATATAAATATAAAATTTAAAAATTAACCAAAAAAAAAAAAAAAAATGCCTATTAAAATTGAGGAACCAACACAACAACAAATTAATGAACTGCGTAACCTTTTCATTAAGAAGTACGAAACGAATCCACCGATAGGTAAGATTTTATTTAACCAAAAAAATATATTTCAAATATTTTTACAGTTTGAATCAAGAAATCGATCATCAATCGATCAATCGATCAACACTTGATTGATACAAACAAATTCTGCCAATCAAGCAGTCACTATTCGCACCTTGTCATTAACATGTCAATTCGATTATTAAAATTTAACATTATAATACGGAAAGCCAAATACAGTGATCTATAGGTGATCCACAGTCGATGGAATAATAAATCGAAATTAATGACATCCTTTTAAAGAGTCGCCATCAAAGAATGAAAATATTATTATTGTCGTCGCCAAGTCAGTGTTCACGGCTTCAATACTCACTGCGGTCGAATTTACTTTGTTCGTAGCTACAGCGATTGCTCAGTCACCACGCTACGCGGCTAGCGAGCAGCACCCCTGATTTATTGGTCATATTATATTAGAAAATGAAGAAAGAAAATGGGATATAAAGTTGAAATCTTACACCGGGATTGGGTGATTGGCGGGGATTAATTTCCACCGGCGATTTTCGTAAACTACGTAGTAGTGAGACTACTCACAACGAAAACTACTCCCAAACAATAAACGTAAAATTTTTCTCTTCTTTCGGATAAATGGGTAAAACGGAAGACCAACCCATCCTTGCAATCTTACTGTTCGTCTGTGAATTTTTCCGAACTGTATTTGCCGACATGAACAGTAGTCTAAATGGCAATATCTTGAAAAGTTGCAGGCTAAACACAAAAAAGCAAGATAAATAGACGGACATAGAAATTTAGAAAATGATTATTAATCGTTTGGCAAAATGCAACTCTTTCTGCTTGTTACATACGTCCGCACAAACTTAATATACTCTTGTAGGGCAAATGATGCAAAATATAACAATAATATTTTTATACCAAATGTAGATGTAGATGCTCCTCCAACTCACCGAATAACTTTGCTTCACGGCATGTAATTTCACTTTTGGTGAATAGCTTTACTAGAAAGCCTATAAAACACTTGCTATTGATTTAAGTCGTTTAACATGAACTCGCATTTACTAGCTACGCTGCGTGCTCCCTATGTCCTTAACCACAAAATCGCGGTAGATTAGTTGCAAAAATGGCACCGTCTTCTTAGCACGAATGCAGGATAGTTCTTATAAGCTTTCCCTAGTACTCGACGAACTTCAAGAGCATATTAATATAACAAAGTAACATATTTGATGGCTTTAGACCATAAAGTTGGACAATCGCAAGCAATAGATTGATGGGTGATCTCTACATTTTTCCACTCATCATATTCTGAACAAATAATATTTATTTACTTAATTTTTATGATTTATTTCCCATAGATATTTTGTAAATATTATAAATTTACATATTATGGATTTACAGATAATGTATTCTTGCCTGTATTCAAAAAAAAAAAAAAAAAAAAAAACTCTACCGCATTTGAGATTTGAACTCGCGATCATTGATCATTGAGTTATTTGTCGCAATCGTTTGCCTACTCGGCTCGTTTGCCTACTCTGCGAATTAAACGAACTCACAAATGAAACGAAAGCAATTTATTCAAAAATTTAATTTGTCGATAATTATCGTATATCTCAGGCGATAAAGTACGTTATCTGCACACGCTAACGCGTCTGCAATGTAAAGATAACGACCCCAACTTACATAACATATAGCGAGTAAGTCGTGCAAGTATAGTAATAGTTTGATAGAAAAGTTACTTTTGATCACGCAACTGACAATTTTATACCAATAGTATGCAATTTTAGTTTACCGACTTAAGCGATAAGTATTTAAGATTTAATCTACTATAGTAATGGAAGTTTCTTAGATCGACGAGTCGAAAAAATCGAAAGACGACCTTTTACGATGCGCTCGCTTTCAAAGCCGTACAAGTCGCTCAGTACATTAACCCGTATACCACTAGCAATTATAATGCGTGTGTGTGAAACAAAACAATCACTATACCTTTCAATAATAACGCTTAAAAGTACAGTGCAGTACGATAATTGTATTCTCGTCCTTATCTATAATAATCGTTAAAACGCAATTCAAGTGAAAATCTGTTACGAATGATTTCAACGTTCTTCATAAGACCACCTGTTATTTCTCCATTTCATTCACTCCCAATCGACAGATAATAAGTGAGTGATGTATGTACATATCTATACGAATATTATATATATATATATATATATATATATATATATGTGAATATTATTGTTTACTAATTACACTTTAAATGAATATTGATTGCTCTGAATAGCGTTCAAGTGCAGACTGATCCCAACTCGAAGGGAGAGGTATATGTTTCTACTGTATTGCGATTTTGACAAGTTTTCATCGATCTTAACGCCGTAGCTAATAAACGAAAACAACAAAAACAATTAAATTCTGTCGGGACCAAATCTTTTATATGCATCACCGTTTACCCTAGAAGAAGATGAAAGAAGTAAAAGAACAAAATTTTCATGCTTTAGAACATGGACTGAGCGCAGCTGATTGCTTCTATTTTCAAAATAAAAGTTTTTATCACATAGGCATGTGGGCGTGTCATTTAAAAAGTTTAGATCAATTTCAAATTCTTTTGCAAATTTGTAGGCGATATCTTCATTTTTGCTAACGAACGGGAGAATGTTGTACAACAAATACTACAAAGTTACGCAAACAGACAGATGGAGAAGACGAACCGCCGGACATGTTTAGGTGCTTTCAAGAGTTATAACTGGCCAAGAATTTGTATACTTTCTGCATGTTACAAAGGTATTGAAAAAGTGATGATATTTTGATACACTATAATATTAGGTAGGTGTGGTCAATTCATCAGCTCAAGGCGACAAATTCGTATGGAATCGTATCTTATTTGGATATCTATATAATTATTCGGAGTTTTACAAACGATAGATCAGAATCGAAAATATTGGAAGCCTTTCATTATGATTACAAAAATAAAGGGCAATATGCTCATATCGTATGCTCATGTCCAAGCCTCTTCATTACTTCGAAGGCTTGAGATCTCTTGATCATCCGCGACGCGAGCTCAAGCCCTTTATCTCTGAAGATAATTTTATGTGACCTGTGACACAAGTCATTCTCTCTATCTCTCTCTCTCTCTCT